TGGTATACAAAAAAAATTAATGAGATTTTGATGCAGGGCAACCAGAGTAAACATTGGATACATCGAGTCATCAATGTTAGACCAAGCGCTTCGTGGGAGGCAACCCATGGTTATCTTTGTTATCTGTTTAGTGTGATTGTTGTTATGTTGGATTGGATATTAGTAAGATGTTGGACTTTGATCCATGTTTGATATGTAAGGGTGGATTAGATTAATGTTGTGAGGTAATTCCTTCGTCATGACTAGATTTATATATGATTTCTGATAATAGCAGATTGGCGAGTCTGTTACGACTTAGTTCTTAACCAGAGATGAGCATTACCTTGAAGCATGTAGAGTTTGGACTTGGACCACTTTATTTTAACTCTATTACTTCATTTATCTGACTTTATCTTCACTAATTAAGGTAATGAACTTAGTAAATAACATATGGATGAACTGCACTACTTTTATTTACCAGAGAGTGTATACCTTAGACTTAGAGTAACCCTGAAATTTACAACATATGAGGGAATTCTGGTCCATGGATGATAACCATAAAAAGTTTTATAATACACCAACATTATTATTGTATTTTCTTCCGTTATAAATTGAAAGTAAGGAGGAGAAATGTGAGTAGAAGGGAAATCAAATTAAACTCAGTTGTTGACCTCAGTTGTTGTTTGTTTATCAATCTGTGAGTCTATGTATTGGAGTTTTTGTATCAATGTTTGTGAGTCAAGTTGAATGAGTCATTGGAGATGATAAAACTTATCTTAATATTATAAACTTGTTAGCATCTAGCAATTCCTTTATAAAGTTTAAAATGTGTTCCTGTTTAATATTTAGTTTGTACCTGTTCTACTATTTAAAATTCTTTTATAGTATTATATCAAGCATGTTTAGGCTAGATTTACTTTCTACTACGATGTTCTACCATGTGTTACTTGTTGATATTTTTGTAGGATGTGTAGTAAATTGTAAAACTGCTCTTTCCTTGCCGCATATTTTTGTACTTCGTTGTTACACATGTTTGAGCTTAAGTTTGGGTGGAAAAGAAAAATGTTTCAAAGAAAAATGTTTCAAATTTAAAGTTTCAAATTTAAACCTTACATGTTTTCAAAAGTACTGCAAATAAATTTTATTTAATTTCTAGTGATTATTGTTATGTGGAGTCATCTTAAGAATGTTGAAGTTTTAAGTATAGAAATGGAGTAGAAAAACTTAGTTGATATTTTTGATGAAAATGATGAACCTAGAGTTAATAATATTTATTAGAGAGCTTGGGAAAATGAATAATTATCTTTAGTAGGAAAAATTATATTTTTTGAAAAATTAAGGATTCTTAGAATTTTTATTTTCAAACATTTAACGCTCTCTTAGGAAACATTTTAAGAAAAATATATACATCTTTTCAAGTGAAGGAAAGTAATAAGTTTTAACTTTAGAGGAGGATGGTGGAATTCAAAATCATTTAAGGACCTCTCTAGATATAGTAATTCTCACATAAATAAAAGAAAAAAATATGGATAAAAAAGATCCGAAAAAAAAAAGAATAAAGTGAGGAGAAGCTTGAGGAGAGATCTTAATCAAAAATTGGTTTCACTTGAGTCTTTCTAGAGTAAAGAACCTAGAAAAATCCTAAGCTTGATTTTTATACTTATATTAGTACAAACTATTTTTAAGAGAGTTCTTAAGTCTAGAAAGTAAAGTTCAAAGGATCAGAAGTCAAAGGATCCGAAGTTTGAAAAGTCTACATATATTTCTGAATTAGGTGGGAAAACAAATTCCCAAGTTTGATGATAAATATTTTAGATCCTGGGCTAGTCTCATTCACTAGAAGTTCTTCTAATTTAAACTATCACATTTTTAGAAAAAAAATTTAGCAATTCTAAAGGATGACCCATTAACACTAATCTACATACATTATTTTAAAAATGTAATATTACTTGAGGACAAGTAATGTTTAAGTTTGGGGGATTTTGATACGACTAAAAATGTACTATTTTTCATGCTATATTTTATGATGATATTGCACTTTAAATGTATATTTTTTTTTTGTATTTTTGTTTGTAGATACATCAAATTGAAGAATTTGGAGTGATTAGAGAAAAAAAAAACATAAATGGACCAAAACGGAGCAAATCGGATCAACTCGGGGCACGTTGGAGCCATGGGGATCAAAACAGGACACTTAAGTACCTGTGCCCGGCGCTAAAGATCCAAAAATGGCGCTTAGATGCCACCACACAAAGAGGGGCGCTTAACTCCCCAAGAATCGGTGCTTAGGTGCCAGTGACGGTTTTTAACATAACTTCTTCAATATACGTCGGATTTGGACAATTTTTGAAGTGATGTTTCGTGCATCTCTTGGGGAATTCATAGGAATTGACAAAATGGAGTTTCTAGAAGGATTTGGAGTGGTTAGAATGAGTTTTGAAGAGGTACTTAAAGCACTATTTGGAAGACTCATTGATCTGGACAGTTTTGAAGAGACACTTAAGAAACTCTTGGGAAACTATAAATAAGGCTGGGAAATGTTTTTAAAAACTCTCTTGAATATCTCTTGGACTTTGGAATTAATTAGAAGAGGAGAAGAAGGTTTGTAGAAGAGGAAGAAGTCTTGGGCGTGAGCCCCAAGTGGGGCGGCAAGGTGAGAGAGAAAGAGAGAGAGTGAGAGATTTATTCTTTTCTTTTCACTTTGTTCTTGGAGAGGATTGTAAGAAGATTGCTTTTGCTATACAAGAAGAGTTTGATTTCCATCAGAGATAAGTATTTTCATTGTATTTTTATTTGAATTTAGTACTTTGTTTGCATGGTTTCAAAGACTTGTGTAATGAAAAGTTCTTGTTGTTTCTCAATGTGTAGTGAGTAGTTTTCTTTACTCTTTCTTCTTGTAATGAATTAGTATGCATGTGTAGTATATAGAATTGAGTAGAGAGAGAATATGTGATGATTTTACTTTGTTCTTCATTTACATGTAAACTTGATTAACTTGCATGTTAAAATCTGCTGTGAGAACATGTAAGATTCGGGATGGTATTGTCTCAATCAACTGTGGTAGAATCATATGAGATTGTATGGATGAGAATGTAGTCAATATGGTTGAGTGCAAATAAATAGGGAAATAATCTTTAATGGGTGTAGAATTAAAAGACTTTAGAGTGACAGACTAAAGCCCTCTAATTTGGTCTATTTTTTTAGGTTTTGATACGAGATATTAACCTCCAGGTGGAGGGATAAGAGGGAACTCTAGAGTGAGAGCTAGTATCTTTCATGCCTAGCCCGTCTTCAGAACTGTTCAAACTTTAAATTAATTAATGTTCTTTATAACATCTCTAGTAAGGGTAAATAATATAATTTCTCCCGTTTGTCATAATCTCTCTCACTACTTGTTTTATTTTTACACATGTCACTACTTTCATTGCATGAGGAAGGGTACTTTTAATATATTAAAAACCCCACTTTCTGATTTTCACTAAGTATTTTAATTTAGAAGTAGAAATAGTATTATAGTGATAATTGTAGGATAAAATTAAAACCAAACTTTTATCAACCTTCCAAGCTAGGGCGTGTTATTCTAAACTAGATTTTCTCTTGAAAGCCGCCGTGATTAACCTCGATCTCCGTGGGATCGATATTCGGGACTTAATCAGAAAACCCTATATTACTTGATAACGATACTTATACTTGCGTAGAATCTCTACAAATATAATTGAAATCTTACTTTACTTGGGATCAAGTTTTTGGTGCCATTACCGGGGATTAAAATCTTTAAGTAGTGGTGTCAACTTCATAAATCCTTACATGTACAAAATATCAGGATTATTAAGTTGTATTGTGATTGTAAGTGCAAAAATTGTAAATACTAAAGTAAATTTTTTTAATGCTACAGATTTCTGACAGTTTACCATCCATTTTGTGACAATTATTCCATCTATTGTTTCATAACCTACGACATAAACCTTCAGTTATACTAGCACTGTGTAACCGACCTGAATTTGACGGATATTACTTCAATATGACCGCTACTCGATGACCATTTCATCGGTTAAAATACCAACACGCCCTCTGCACCTAATGGATGGATCACCTGCATCATAAAAAAGATGACTGAAACTTTTTGGAAGGTTAATTGGTCACTAATTTCAGACAATTAATTATGTTGGTTATCATAAATTGACCAAAACAGACGATTCCATTGTGCCTTTTCAGTTATTCAAAAGCGACGATTGCGCCGGGAAGACGTCGATAAAGCAAAGCTGTCAGAAGTCCATTTGGTTTAAATATTACCGACAAGGGTTTTAGCAACGATCTTAACAACATCAACATCCTGTCGAAAATTTAAAAACCAACAGTTAATTTATTGTTAACCAACGGATTGGGACCGTCAGAAATTGCCACATTATCGTAGTGAGTGTGATTCAAAAGATGTCGCCTAATTTTGTTGGATTTTCCTTTTTCTTAGGATACTTGCCCAAACCTATCCTGATCCAATAAGTCGAAAAATTTGGCTCTGTGGTTGTTGGTCATGCTAGAAAGAAAGCCTAAGGGACTTGCTCATTTTTTGCATTCTAATGTGTTAAAATACTACAGAGCAAAAAATATTGATTCATATATTTGCTAAATTCTCCCTTATGGCTTTCCTTTTAGCATAAAAAAAATCAATAAATAAAAGGTTAAAAGAAGTAAATATTACATCCTTTCTCTGTATCTTCATATATATGAAGAACGATGTTATTACATACTTATTTTCTTTTTGCACATCACCATCGTAGCGTGTTATTACACGTAATATTTTTCAAGTTAAAAGACTTATAGAGGTACAAAATATATTTACTTTCTAAAGTAAATAGAATACTTGAAAGCTTCTACTCATTATTCCCCACTTCTTTTGCTCTCTACTTTCATCCGATCCATTCATTCAATCTCACAGAATTTGTTAGTAAGTTTCAGTCTCATCTATGAAATAAAATATAATAGAGACTCATAATAAATTTCGCAAAAATAAAATTGGGCTCGTAGTTATTTTTACTGCAACAATAAGACCTCTGTGCGAGATTCTTTTAACAAATGATACAAGTAGGTACAGATATAGGCTAAGAGTCATTCATTACTCCTTGTCAAACCGAGATATTCAAACTCAAATTCTGTCTATCATGGATCATTTTGCAGTGAACGTAATAGAAATCGGACTCCGAACACTAATAACCTTATCTGAAGAAACCCACACGAGATAACCTTCAGCATAATTCATGGTGGAGTTTCTTCCATCCCTGCTAAACTCAACAGTATATGCTAATTCTTCCCCACTCCCTGAAAAGCTCAGCAATGTTGGTGATACAACCACTGCTACTCCAGTCGGTGGAACGATCTCTACCATATAGCTTGAGCTCCCTTTGCTGACATTTATAACCTTTCTGCTCACCTTTCTACTATATCCTGGCCTCATCTCTACTGAGAAAGATGGATAATTGAGATCCACATCGTAGATGGGGTTCACAGTTGAACAGTTCACAATTCGACGCGCCACCGCAGTTACCTGACAATTTGTTTGGCATGAAGTCTCACTAAATAGTAAAAAAATATTGCTTATTCAGGCAGAAGATACAAATTTTACAAAATTGAATATGAAAGTTGTGCAAAGCTGATTGTTTTAGAATGCATTTTAAACAATTTGATCGGATAAATAAAATTATTAATTTCACAATACAATTTATTTGTTTAAAACATTACAGAACATGCCCATATTGTTGGCTTTAGAAAATCAGTTTAAAATTTATTGTCCAAATTAATTAAATTCATTTTTTAAAAAATTTAAATATGATTTTGATTTTTTTCAATCGATGAACAATAAATAAACTCTTTTACTCAACTCATTTCTAATAAATTAATTCCTCAATCACATTATTATATAAAACCTTAAAAATTAATATTTATTCCCGCTTATTTTTAAATAATTAATATGCGACTACAATTTAAAATCATAATATTATAACCATGAGGAAAATTTTTATGCGACATATGAGGCTCTTGTTGCAGTGAACCTATTGTCGAACTTTTTCCTCTTCGTATGAAATGATTTAGCCAGGAAAAAAAAAATAATAATTAAAAAGAGAGAACACTTTACGAAATGCAAACTAAATGGAAGAGACAAAGGGAGCATTAACGGCAACATACGAACTAAATGACAGAGACAAAGGGAGCATTTATGGCAAAATGCGAACTAAATGAACATGACCAACGGAATATTTACTAGCCTTAACAGAAATTTAGTTTTTAAAATGAAAATAGTCAATAAATTAAACTTCACTTAGGGTTCGTTTGTGACAGTTTGTGCGTTTAAGGATAAGAGGATAAGCTGCTTATTCTGAAACGCGGCCCGCGGGCCGGCAGCAGAGGTCGGTTCGCGGACTGCGTTTAGTGTAAAAACCCAAACACAGTTTCGAATAAGCTGGCGAAACGCGCGAACCAAACAGTACGGCAGAATTTTGAAAATACCGCCCGCACTTATAAGCTGCCCCAAACAGACCAGACCCTTAGACATTTATACTTTTTTCAAACAAGAAAAAAATATGACGAACATTCATGAAAAGATGATTCATTTTCGTGTTTAAATTGAATGTTTATGCATATCCATACAATTTAATTTATATATAATTCTATATCCAGCATGAAAATTTGTATATCTAATGTAATACTTTATTATCTTATTTACAGTTATTAATTGTAATCGTGTAATTTATTCACTTTTGTTTTGGCAACCATACCTGAGCATCGCTGTAGTTGAGTCCGCACATATACGCGATGTAGTCGCTCGGCTGTATGTCATAAACAAAGCCTGGATTGTTAGCTTTACTCGGATTGACATGACCCGCTCCCCTAGCAAAGAGGTCCGCGTTCTTCAATTGCTCATCCTGGATCGGTAGCCCGGCTTTATTCTCATTATCGGCTGTCGTTATAATAGCCGATCTGATTGCCGCCGGCGACCATGTCGGATTTGCCTTCTTCAACAACGCAGCTATTCCGCTTAAATGTGGCGTCGACATAGAAGTCCCAGAAATCACATTAAAAATTGCCGGTGAGTTGGTTGGGCCGATCGGCAGAGCTGGCCAACCGGCGAGCACGTTAACCCCGGGTCCGATGATGTCCGGCTTCAGAATGCCCTTGCTGTGAAAGCTCGGACCGCGGGAGGAGAAACTTGCCATAGTAGGCGCGGGGTGGTTACTAAGGCCGATGAGGGTGCCAAAGGGAATGATGGTTGCGGTCGGGGATGTGGTGGAGTTTATGTACGATTTGATCTTTGTGGCGGCAGGGTAGCCAACATGTGATGCAGGGATGACGTGGGCGTCGGCAACCGTTGTGTAGCCGTCTGATTCGGCAGCGGCAAGGATCATGGCAGGGCCGCCCGCTGACGGCGGCACCTTGCTCTACTCGGGGCATATTGCCGCCGCGGTCGCAGATAACGATCTTGCCCCTTAGGTCCATTTTGAAGGAGTGGTCGAAACAGAACTTTTCCTCAAAACTACCTGTTTAGTTTTTAAAATTTATCAATATTGGTACAAGAGTATCAGCAGTCTATAAAAGTTAAATGAAGCTAATCATAATTAATACATGATGAAAACTATTACTTTTCTGCATGTTAAACAAATAAATTTCAGTAGATGCTCTTGCGGAAATTTAGCTCGAACTCTTATTCTTTATAAATGTACATTCAAACAGAAATTCAAAATGTTTTGGTTTGTGTCAAATTTAAGCAGATGTTTGAATTTAGATAAATTTGAAGCATAAAACTCCGAAGAAATTAAACATTTTCAGAAATTAAATTAAAATCTTTTTTACATTATTTGATTCGTTGAAAAATCTTTTGATGGAAAAGAAATTGTTATGATAGATTGATAAAAAAAAAAAAATCGATTTCTTTTTTCTTAGGAAATCAAAATAGAACTAAAAATGACAATATAATAATTTTAGTTTTTTAATTAAAATAAATTGATAGGAAGTTATTAATGAAAAAATATAAATTTATCAATATTTTGTATAATTATAATTTGTATTTTTAATTAAAATTTAAATTTATTTAAAATGTTTAAAATAAAATTGACGCCCGAACGTTACTTCTCTTTAAACTGCTAGTTTTTCTGCATGGTCTCGTCTTCATGAAACTAAATTTTCCTGCGAAGATACTGCCCTGAAATATTTATTTAATGTTATAAAACTATTTCTTTGGAACGGTGCGCATTAAAAAATATTATGTTTTTGGTAGAACTCTTCACCTCATGAACTGCTTTATTTTGAAATATATACAAGAAGAAAAAATAATAAAGAAAAAGAGATTCTAAACTATAAGAGAAAAGACGAAAGAAGGTCTGTTTTGTGGCTTATTTCATCAAAAAAATTAAAAGATCAATGTAATATAAAAAAGATCCGAAATTTAAATTAATGAGAAGAAAATTTGCGTAAAACATAAATTATTTAAAATACAAATGAAAGTTCACCTGACCCTCCAGGATATACCAAAGGCAATAATTCCCCTGCAATCGAATCCGTCTGATACAGCGACTCCCCTTCAAACTCCTCCCCATTACCCAGCCTTACCTTCGCCTGAATCACTCTATCCATCGTGCTCGCCCCAACGGTCAGCATCCACGGCGCATCGTTGGACAACGAACTTGGTTCCGGTCCACTATTCCCCGCCGCCAGACTTACAAATAATCCCTTCTCAACAGCCGCGAACGTGCCGACGGCGACTGAGTCGAGATCGAACATCACCGACATGCCACCGAGGGACAGCGAGAGCACGTCCGCCCCTTCCTCAATGGCAGCATCGATTCCAGCGAGTGTGTCCGACAAAGCGCAGCCGAACGCCGTGCATACTTTGTAGACGGCGAGATGGCCTTTTGGCGCAATGCCGACGGCTTCACCGGCGGCGTTGCTGAGTGCGGAGGCGTTGGCTACGAATGTGCCAACGGCGGTGCTTGCCGTGTGCGTTCCATGACCGAAGGTGTCCAGCGGCGAAGTGGCGTCGAGGACTTCATTACCCAGCGCCTGAGCAGTTAAGATCAAAAGTCAGCAGGGTGTATTTCTATTTTACATAAATGAATAAAGTAATTAATTAATGAATATTAAATTCGTGTAACATATCATCAACAACACGTGTTGGTAATCATTTATAAATGAAATTTCAAATTAGTTGATCAATTTTTAACTCAATTTATTATTATTTAAAATTATTAATATTATTACAATTATTTCTACTATTATTATCACACTGCTGGAATAGTTTACCCAGCAATATATGTAACTGGATAATTAACGCAGTTCAAAGTCATTCTTACCACCGTTCCTTGCAGGAATTCAAATAGGAATGCCCTGGCCCCAATAAGCTTGTTGTTACAGTCAGAAGCATTGAACTCACATTTTCCCTTCCACTTTGCCGGCGGGGGCGCCATTCCATGATCGGCAAACGATGGGTGGTTGGGCATCACCCCAGTGTCGAGGAGCGCGACTATGACGCCGAGGCCAAATTCAGACTCATTCCAAAGCTCACCCGGCTTCACCCTCGGCGAGCTGGACAAACCGAGAAACTCGGGAGTGTGTGTGGTCGCGAGGGGAACAAGAACGTCGGCGGTGGAGCTCAGAAATCCTGGCCTCTGCTTCATTGCTTTGAGCTCGGCGTCAGCGAGCCTGGCTGCGAAGCCGCTGATGGCGTTCTTGTAAGAGTAGAGAATGGGAGGAGGGGTTGATGTGGTTTGTGAGAAGAAGGAGAGATGCCATGAGTGTGTGGTTTGAGAGGGTGGAGGTGGATGAACGTAAATTATGTGGGTTTTGGTAGAAACAATGCTCTCATCGGTTAGGGTTCGGGATATGGCAGGAGAAAGAATTAAGGAGAGCAAGGAAATGAAGAGAAGAAAGGGAATGTTTCTAGCCATTTTGGGAGCTGGTTGCCGAATGATGATTTTGTTAGCTCAGGGAGGTTATAGGCTGCTGGTTCATTCAGCGGAGAAGGATCATTATATTTATAAAGGTTTTTTAGTTTTTAATTTTGGTTATTTATTTATTAATTATTATTTATTATATTTATGTAGGTTGTCTTGGCTAGAAGAAATGTACATTTTTATAGACGTTAACTTTGGGGCGAAAGTTTTCTGCCTTAACTGTGTTGGCCATTTATAGTTTCTTTTTGCTCTTGTTAGTCTAGTAATTTATATATCAAGTTACTTTATATATCAAGTTACTTCTAGAAATAAAATTTTAATAGTCTCCATAGTTTTTTAACATCATTTTCTTCTGTAGTTGCTTCACAGCTGCTTGTTCAAACCGCTGCAACTGCTCCAAACAAACCCTTAGTATAAGGCATTTGAAGTTTATCTCTTATTTAGATAGGCATATTTGTATAATTACATAAATGAGAGAACATTTATGAAAATTGTTCTTAGTACAATTGATACTTTAATTAATCTTATAGGTTTCACCATATCTGTATTACAATTTGAATTTTCTTATGACATTAATTAGCTAGTCGATATGCTTGAATTTGGTCAGCTGAGATGATTGGTTGAGAGACGATCACACCTCTCAAAGTAAAAGTCGGTCGGTTGAAGCGACCAGTTGAGTGGCGATCGTATCTCCCGAAGTAAATGTCAGTCGGCTGAGGTGCCTATTCGAATGTAAATCTCACTCGCTGTAGTAAAAGTGAGTTGACTGACTGGTATGCAATCACAAGTTCTTACATGTGTTTTGGTCGGTTCGGAATGCAGACGCTGTCCGCTGATTGAATATCTTGTAACAGTGTGGATCGATTATGATCAATGCACTAAAGTTCTTTAATTAATGAAGGACATTTGCTGATGTTTTTATTTTATATTTTCATGCAATTATTTCTAAATGTATTTTGCCATTCCATTTATTTGTATTCTTGTTGTTGTGAAGGTCATGAATACAATTGATTCTTCTTAACAATTCAAAATTCTTGAAATAAGGACATAATATAAAACTTGATTTTGTAACACCTCTTATTAATCATCATTCTACATATCAACATAAGAAAATATAGAAAATATAATGCGTTCTCTTTTATCTAAACCGGGCAAGTAGAAAATTATGTCACAGTGACTTTACAATAAATGATATGCACGATTTAGTCAAACGTTGATGAAGGAATATCCCTTGTGAATGAATCATTTGCCAAAAAAATGTGTACTTTTAGTGTAATTTCTACAAGGCATTAGACATGCAGTTGCTATTGAAGATTTGAAGTCTCCATTCCCCTTTGCGTGGGCTTCGCCAACATGTGTGCCACGTGGTTGTGTCTATAGAGAGTGAGTGAGAGAGAGAGGGATTCTAATTGCTGGGGTCGTTTTTATTTATTTTATTTTTTAAAAACTAAAAAAAAAGAAGAAAGATAAATTAAAGAGGAAAAAGAAAAGATACGACTATCAACAAGTGAAGGCGAAAAAATATTACATCAGGACTCCTAACATAGAGCTATATTTGAATTTGAATATTTGGTTGTGTTACATTAATATTCTATCTGCATTATTTGTAAAAATGATGTGTGATTCAGGTATTATATCGTGTTATTCGATTATTTTGTGGTGTTATTGAAATATTACATCGTGTTACTTGATTTGGGGCTATGTTATTCGGCATATTGTCCGTGTTATTTCAATTTTCACTATGTTATTGGAATAACACATCCTTAAATCAAGTAATGCGAGAGAATATTCCAATAACACTTCTATTCCAATAACACTTCAACTCTAAATTAAGTAACGCGATGAAATATTCCAATAACACCACAAAATAATCGAATAACACCATATAATACTCGAATAACACATTATTTTTACAAATAACACAAATGGAATATTCCCATAACACAGCCGAATATTCTAATCCGAAAGTAGCTCTACGTTAAGAGTCCTGATGTAATATTTTTCAAGTGAAGGGACATAAAATAACCGAGATAAAAAATTTCATTTTTATAAAAATAAAATATTATGGTACCATTAAAATAATATATAAGATTGCTTTCCTATTATTACGTTTTAATAATTTCATAGTGCTATCGTTAAGATTAATTGATTCAAAAAAAGAAAAAAGATTAATTGATCCACTTAGTCAAAATTGGGCACATTTTTAGTGCAACAAAAAAAAAATCTTTCGCAAATTGATGGGCCTGCAAACTTGGGTTAAAAGGGGTAATTATGGAAAAGCTGTAATCCGAACAGAGCGCTTTTATAAAGATTTCAGGTTAATTTAATATTCATTCCCTAATGAAGCTAAACTATAATTTATGATTTACTTGTTTGTTTGTTATTATTTAGACAATGCTTACAAACGAACCACCCATTTCTTATGTATTTACATATCTAAAAACTAATCTTCAACTTTTTTTTTTATAGGTGCATATAAGAGTTGAGCGTTCAGTTCTGGCTTACCAATCAATTAAAATAAACGATATATGTCTGACGGATTGGTTAAATTAGGTCCCAACATTGCACGGTATTCAACACATACACATATAATACAAATAATGACTAAAAATACCACAATTTTTTTTATATAGAAAATTTGAGAAGAGAAAAAACCACGATATTTTTATATGGAAAATCTGAAAAGAGAAAAAATCACGAGTTTAATGTGTATTAAATGGAATGATGTATCTAGAAGATGAAAATCTTTTCAAGGAATTTTCAAAGATACTTTCCATCAGGTGGTTAAAAACCTGAAATTTATCTATTAAAATGTATCAATTCTAGATACATTGTTCGATTTATCTAGAATTGATATATTTTTATTTTTAATTGTAGGATTACGTCTAACACTAGGAGGGTTAATAATAGAAATAAGAGCTTGTGTTTTGACTTTTACTAGTTTTGTTAGTATTTGACGAAGAGGGTAATCCCATCAGTTGGTTGGACGAAAGTGTGTCAAATATAGGGTAATTAGTAGGTGTGGGTGTAGCCATAAATTGATGTTCAGTTAAGAAAACTATTTTTTTCTTACTTAGGGTTATTCCATGTTTTTGTGCTTGACTACTTCAAAAACGCAAAACACAACATTAGTTCGTTTCTTACACTATGTGTAGCTAGAAAAAGAGAAGCAGAATAATATAACATTAACACATCCAGATAATAAGATCGTAGCTAAAAAAATATTTTACTATTCATAAAAACTTGCAGAAATCGAAACAAGAGAAGATAATTAGCCGTAGTGGTAGTCACACATAGCTAGAATAGGAAAGAAGAAGAAGTAGAATTCCTAACAGGCTCTGCCTCATAGAAGAGAAAGGAGGGCCTTAAATAGATAAGAAAATTGTACATTATTCGTCACTGCTGACGTTAAACAAAATAATTGTTGCATCTTTTCAGAATGGCTGGTTAATTTGGCTTTGAATAATTCTTGGAATATGCGTGGTAGATAAGAGAGGATTTGCTTTTGTCAGAATAATTCTTGAAATATTCTTTTTTTATAATAATTAAGCTTTCTTTTGAGCTGGAGAGATGCTCCTTCTATCGGTAGTGGAGAATAATTCAGGAATATTCTTCAACATTAATTGGTATGTTTACATCTGTATACGTGTGGCTTTTTCTTCAAATTTAAGTCGTATATCTTGTATTGTCTTTTTCTTCTGACAATACATGCATCGATGTATTTTTATTTTGTAGTTTCTCATAAAATATCTCTCTAACTTATTTGCTTACAACTACATTATTTCGACTAAGTGTGACGATCCATTTCTTATACATGACTTTGAGTCTCTTTGGGGTAGTTGCAGTTTATTGAACAATCTGTTGATAAACTGATTAAAATAATCAGCTGATAAGCTAGGTGCGGTGACTATTACGAATTTTTATTTTTTTGGAAAAGCCAAACCGTAGAAAGTTACCACCGCACATAGATAGGTACGGTGTGAAAAAGTTGTTTTCAGCATTTTGAAATCTCATAATCTACCAAAACACAGTTCACCCAAACAGACCAGGTGCGTTTTCAAAACACCACCACAGCTGCCTCAAACGGGCCCTTCATGTATCTTCTTCGTTTGTTGCTTGCAATGGCTGTAAATAAATAATTTATCAAATGAATAATAAACCAAAATATTGGTGGTATCTATTTGTTTAGTTTCTACCCATATCTGGTATAAATCTTCTGCTATAGATCTTTGGGACAATAATTCCATGGGTTTATATTTGAGAGTATAGGACTCACTACTAATTCCAAGTTATATAAGAGATATAACCCCTTTTATTTCTAGATAAGTTTGATATGTTTTAATATATAAATTCCAGTGCTTTACCACCCGCTAGAAAGTATCAACAGCTTCAATTATAGGCTTTAGTAATTCCTTGAGAAGATTTTCATCTTCTAGATACATTATTCGAATGAATCCACATTTATATAATTGTGACAATAATTTTCAATCAGTATTTCTGTAAATGTAAATAGCTTGATATTTTCTAGCGGTATGAAAGTAAATTTGAGGATTAATTTTTTCTTCGTATAATGATAACTGTTGTCATTCATCAGAAGTGTCAGTAATTTTCTTCGTCGTATTTTGCAATATTTTTGCATAAGTTATATATTTTTTTTTAGGATGATGCCTCTTCTTTGATAGCAATCTCGAATAATTTATTTTTTACAAAAGTACTTTCGTTAGTTTCTTCTTTACTTATGTGAAGATTAGCAAAATTTCTAATTTTCTTTAATTCAAAGAGTAAAGGTAGATCTCCTTCTAGTTCTTCACCTGTCAGATAGTTCTTTAATTTTCTTAGCTCTTTCAAAACAATGTTGGAAAGGGCTATTTCACATTGTATTTCCCAAATTTGTAAATCAACAGTTTCTAAATAAGTATTTTGCTCCAAACTAAGTTTTTCTTTAGCATTGTTGGATATTTTGTTTCCATACTTTCTATTTCCATATTTACTTA